GGTGGCGCGCCGAAACCAGAGAAAAATTGAGACCACCAAAAACAGGCTCTGTTTATTCACGGCAATCCAGGGTGCAGATAGGTGACATAATCGGTTTATTGGAACACCAAGTCTTCACGATCAAAGTTTCTTTTTATTAATAATTGCGTATCACGGACAAAGAACAATTAACTGCCTCGTGTTCAAACTCACTCAATCCTTAAAACTATATAAAACTAAGTTCCCTAGTAATGAATCTTAAGTTAACTAGGTGAACCAATAAGCATAGTTGATAATTAAGAAAAAAAATAAAAGGGTTAAGACGTGAGTTCCGAACTCGAGACTCTCGGACGTTAATCCAGCACCAAGCACGTGTGCCATCGAGTCATTGTGGTATATCATTTAGCAAATTTATATTTCTGTAGTTACCCACGTTCGACGGTTTGTTTAAAGTTTTATTTGCTCACTCTATTATTTACAAAGCTTCATATGGATATTAAGGGAATTAACATCGGCAAAATTTACTACCTCATTACTACGGTTTATGTAATATGCAGTAAGAAAGGGTGGATTCAAGTCTCCCTATTTGAGTGTTCACCCGGTTTAAAATCGTGGATCTCGAGGAACACACGAATTCATTCGACCAATCAAAAACGAGGAACTAGTTCGAGAGCCTCTATCAGGTGGCGCGGCGACGCGCCAAAACACAGCTCCAGATTATCACGCGTAGTATTACTATATATACACGACCAATCAAAAACGTGGAAGTGCTTCGAGGGCCCTCCGCTAAGGTGGCGCGCCGAAACCAGAGAAAAATTGAGACCACCAAAAACAGGCTCTGTTTATTCACGGCAATCCAGGGTGCAGATAGGTGACATAATCGGTTTATTGGAACACCAAGTCTTCACGATCAAAGTTTCTTTTTATTAATAATTGCGTATCACGGACAAAGAACAATTAACTGCCTCGTGTTCAAACTCACTCAATCCTTAAAACTATATAAAACTAAGTTCCCTAGATGCTTCTCATCTGGGGAAAAACAAGCCGCCTGGTTTGTCCACCAGAGGTGCTGTGGACCTCAAGCATGGTTCTAAACATTCCGGGGCCCGTTGCGCGGTAACGCAACTTACAAGATTAACTCTATTCTGCTAACAACGGACAAACTTGCACTATCGGTCTCTGAATTACCGACGTTGCTATTTGCAATGTGAGCACTCGCACCAAACCGTCTGCTCCAGGATGCAAATTGATGATGCTCGCGAGCCTCCATCGTGCTGGTGGTAAATTTGGTTCCTTGATCAAAACTAAATTATTTAGTTTCATGTTCTCCTGCTTCGTACGCCACTTTTGCTTTTGTTGTAAGCCACTTAGATATTCTGATGACCATCTTCTCCAAAATCCTTGAACCAAGCGCTGTACCAGCTGCCATCGAGCCAATCTTCCTGGTGATAAGTGTAGTAAGGTTGGTTCCGGTTGTACTAATGGAGGTCCTGCCATAATGAAATGTCCAGGAGTCAGGACGTCAACGTCCTCCGGATTATCAGACATTGGTGTCAGAGGCCTAGAATTTAAACATCCCTCTATTTGTGTTACCGCAGTTTGGAACTCATCTATACCGAGCAGAGCTCTTCCCATTACTCTGCGTAGGTGATATTTAAACGATTTGACTCCAGCTTCCCATAAACCACCAAAGTGGGGTGCCGATGGCGGATTGAAATGCCAAGTAATTCCTCTTGCCATAAGCTCTTTGGTCAGTGCTGGCTGAATCTGTTTGCAGAAAATTTTATGTTCATACTGTAACTGCTGATCCGCTCCAACGAAGTTTGTCCCACGATCACTATATAGATCAGTACATAGTCCTCTCCTTGCTGTGAAACGCCGGAACGCACCAATGAACGCCTCTAATGACAGATCCATGACTACTTCTAAGTGCACAGCTTTAGTTGCAAAGCACACGAATATTGCAACATACGCCCTTTTTAATTGCCGATTCTTGTCTCGTAGGTTAATATCAAATGGTCCGCAATAATCTACACCTGTATGCGTGAACGGACGTGAGCCTTGAACTCGTGCTGCAGGTAAGTCTCCCATCAATTGTGTTGCTTCAGGGTGTTGGTATCTCCTACATACGACGCACTGTCGAATACAGCTTCTCACAGCGTTACGTGCTCGCAATATCCAATATCTCCTTCTCAAGATGCTCAATATAAGTGTACCGCCACCATGTAGAGTATGTTCATGTGTTTCTCTGATCATTAAAGTAATTATATGCCCGCTTCGTGGCAAAACTATTGGATGCTTCTGCTGCGTCGGCAACGTTGAATTCCTTAATCTACCTCCTACTCTTAATAAACCGTCTTCATCTAAGAAGGGGTTCAGGCTAATTATGCTGCTTCTTGGCGGTATTGGTTTCCCTAATTCGATACATGATTTCTCCGCAGAAAATGCTCTCTCTTGAATAACCTTGATCCATGTCTTCAAAGCTTCTTGAATCTCCTTGGCGTGCAGTTCCTTTGTTACTTCGGGTTGAGAAAATCCAACCTTCATACCTCTAATAAATCTTAGATAATATGCCGTAATTCGCAAAAGCCGTGTCAGTGAAGAATGTCGCACCTCCAAATCGTTCTCTTGATCTTGTGTAACGATAATATTCGTCGTTTGAACGCTTTTCTCTTCCAGATGCACTTCATCAATGATATCCTGATGTGATAGTATGGACCGTTGTCCCTCGGTGTTCTCTTCTGATACTAAAGCTTCATTATTTGCCATCCATTCATGCAACTCAAATTGACCGCACTTCAATAACGATATTAATTGTTTTTTCTTCTCTACAGCTTCTTCGAGCGTATCAGCTCCAGTGAGAATATCGTCAACATATGTTTCATGTGACAGTGCTTCTGCTGCCAACGGAAAGGACGTACCATAATCTTGAATTACTTTCTGAATCGTACGCAACGCCAAATAAGGAGCTGGAGCCATCCCAAACACTACGCGGGTTAAGCGCCATTCCTGTACGTCTTCTGCAGAGTCGCTGCGCCACAGAAAACGTAGGCAGTCCCGGTCCTTGGGTGCTACCAGTATCTGGCGATACATTCCTTGTATATCTGCTGCAAATACCCACTGGTACACTCTTCAACGCATGATTACTCGAGGAATGCTGATTTGTAATGACGGTTCTGTCAATAGTACATCATTCAATGACACACCCGTCTCAGACTTCTGTGATGCGTCGAACACAATCCTAATCTTCAGCTGTCCATCCACTATTTTCTTCACCGGTTGGTGTGGTAAATACGTAATTGTAGAGTTTGCCGTCGATGACTGAGCATCCACCTGTTCAACATGCCCTTCGTCTATGTAGTTCTGCATGCTCTCCATGTACTTGGCCTTTAATTTATGATCTCGATTCAATATTTTCTCTAACTGTAACAACCGTCTGAAAGCTGTTTCCTTTCCAGATCCCAATGAAAGACACTGCGTCTGTTTCCACGGCAACTGCACTTCATATCTTCCATCTGCTGTTTGCGTGGTTGTCTCTTCGAACAAAACTTCACAACGTCTATCTTCCTCCGTCCATGGCATAGACTTCGGTACCTCCTCTAGTTCCCAAAACTTCTGTAAATCATGGTTATGATCCGTCTGCGCGAACGCTACTGTGATATGGTTCGTAGAAGCAACTGGCTCGTTGTTTCTCACTCCAGAAAGAGACACTTGTGTGACTTCTCCAGATAGAATCCACCCAAACCTTGTGTTTTGAGCAATCGGGCTACCCTTCGGTCCCGTTTTCAGACCTTCCAGAATGATGTATGCATGTATGTCGGCTCCCAACAACAAATCAATCTTTCCTGGTTCAAAACAATGCGGATCGGCCAATTCAATGCCTTGCAAATGCTTCATGCATTGTATGTTAACATATCGTCCGGGCAATAGACCCGTCAAAGACTTCAGAACTTGAGCGGTTACATCTATATATTGATCCTTTGCTCTAATCTTTAGGCCCACTTGGTATTTGGATCGCTTAACTTCCGATGTTCCTACTCCAACATATTCCACCTCTGAACGGCTTCTTCTTAAGTGCAACTGTTGCGCTATGTGGTCCGTTATAAACGATGTCTGCGAACCCTGGTCGATTAACACTCTGCATGTGAGTTCCACTCCATCCATACCTACAACATTGACTAAGGCGGTAGGTAGTAATACAGTTTTAACTCGTGAAGACACTGTCCCCGCTGTAACAAGTGTAGCTTGCTACTTTTCATTCTGTATGGTAACAGCTTGAGCTGCCTGGCTAGACCCACTCATTATCTGTAATTGATCTTTATTCTGATTATTTTTAGATGTTGACTCATGTAATAGCGAATGATGAGGTTGATTGCACATCTTACACCTCATATTGCTTGAACATTTCGAAACGATATGACCTGGACTTAAGAAATTCCAGCATAAACCTTTCTCTTTAACTATAGATTTCTTGGACATGATAGATGAATCCAAAAACTTAGAGCATTTCCAAATTGGATGTGTCTCAGGACACAACAAACAAGCGAAAACGTGCGAAACATGGTCAGATTGTTTGCGCTTACCTCCATTTGAAATCTGTGAACCCTTTGGGTTCTCAAATTTATCTGTCTTACCTTTACTAACCTCTAATGCTTCTAAAGCCCTGAAGCGGTTTTCCAAAAATGTCTGCAACTCCGACCACCCTGGGTAATGTAGTTGAGAACTAGTTTTGTCTTCCCACAACTTACGTGTTTCCCTGAGTAAACACCTCTTGATCCAAAATACAAATACAGGATGTTCCACTGAAACTCCATCAATGAGCTGACGTAATGTTTCTAAACTATGATTAAATGTATCAATCAGATCACTAATCTCTGATGCGTTCTCATACCGTAACTGAGGTAAGGAAAAAATAGTCTCCAACTGATTGTCCACTAATGTTTTAGTGTTATTATACCTTCTTTTTAGTTCATTCCAAGCAACAGCATAGTTATCAACGGTTAATGCATATCTCTGAATTAGTTTTGCAGCCTTACCTGTGAGACTCGTTCTTAAGTAATGAAATTTCTGTATGGTTGATAAATTAACATTGGTATGTATCATATCCTCATATAAGTCTCTAAATGTCATCCAATTCTGGTACTCTCCATTGAAACTTGGCATTGACACTTTTGGTAAATTAACATTTGATAACTCTCTTCTAGTGATATTTGTTACACGATGGATTGGGTCCTGTAGTGGCTCAAAAGAACCTGATAACGGAATCACCGGTTCTTGACCTATATCCTTCTCAAAATCACCCTCAGACATCACCGTCTTGGGAGGTGCCAATGATCTATCATCTTTGCTATGTATAACTGTTGAAGTCAGCTGCGGAAGCTGTTCAAGCCGTTCCTCTATCTCACTTACTGTTGTCAAGTACAACTCCTCCAAATTGTAATATTCATCAGACTCTAAATATTCTATTACACTTTCGTGTCCAACTTCTTCTTCCCCAAGAAGTATTGTATGATTGGACCTAAATTCCATCCACAAATCCTGCAATATCTTTATCCGTGCCTGATAGTACCTACCTGTTTGCACTGAAACGGTATCAGATTTGTACTTCTTGACGCTCCGCGTCACCTCTCTAATTATCTGATTCTGTCTTTTCAGAATTTTCTTTGTATTCTGCGCGGTCTCCATCGCTGCAGCCTTTATGTGAATAATGTCTTTGTTCCAACAATGTACCAATTCTCACCATCCAATACTTTCTCTATGTCTCCGTAAATCCGCTATTTCTCCGTATCCGGCTCGAAGGACCAAAATGTTTATTCACGGCAATCCAGGGTGCAGATAGGTGACATAATCGGTTTATTGGAACACCAAGTCTTCACGATCAAAGTTTCTTTTTATTAATAATTGCGTATCACGGACAAAGAACAATTAACTGCCTCGAGTTCAAACTCACTCCATCCTTAAAACTATATAAAACTAAGTTCCCTAGATGCTTCTCGTCTGGGGAAAAACAAGCCGCCTGGTTTGTCCACCAGAGGTGCTGTGGACCTCAAGCATGATTCTAAACAGGCTCATTGGCAATCTCCCTACTCATCTCTGCTTTCAAGTAGAGATGGACAGTTGGTATCAATGTTGCTTGAATATGATACGAGCGTTTACGGCGAATTTCTGAAATTGGAACGCATGTAGGTTAGCAGTTTACGGTGCAATCGATTAGAAAAACCGGTTTTTCTTATTTTTCATTAAGGAAAATGAATACTGTATGCGGTCGTTGCTTTTTGTCGTACTTGCGATTCAATCAAACATTCTATAATGCACTACCAGCACTTGTAACACATTCCCGTTGGTTTTCATCAAATAAGCCGATTGTTGTGCAAGAAATTGTGAAAACTGTCAAACCTTTCGGAAAGGTGGTGATTAATGTGGCATGTGATGTTGAGGTTAAGTCTACAGATCCTGATATGTATCCTGATATGAATACCGTATTAATTCGGCTGCTTTCCAAAGAAGCTTTACCTGATTCTGAAGGTGAAGTTTTGACAGTTCACGTGAATGATGACATTTGTGAAATCCGCACTCTGGATGAACAATTACATCTTATTCCTGATGATGCCAAATGTCTTATAGAATCCCCTGTACGATATGGTAAGGAAAGTCCTATATTTTTCAATTTACATTGCAATTCTGTAATTAATAAATAATGTATTCTAATTTATATTTTCATCTTTTCTTTACGATTTTTTTGCATAAGAGTGTTAGTTAATACTTTTTTCTCTTTATTTATTAGTTTTGCGTTAGTTACTATGTTATTTTCAAGCAAATAATGTTCTATTCAATAATATGAATTTCATCCTTATGATATTGGTTACGATCTATGACCTATTTTAATGAAAATATTATTTTTTACTAATGTACATTAAGATCATAGTTATGTTAATCATATTGCCACAGTTAATTACTAAGATTAATTTCATAAGCTTCCTTTAAGTATATTGTTGTTTAAAAAATATAAAAACTGTACTTCTTTTTAATGTACTAGTCAAATTATATGTAATAAACATATTTTATCCATATCAGTTTGCAGTATATGTACAACAATTTATATTTATATAAAATTATTCCCTACAAATTACTTATAATAACTTTGCATCTTGATTGCATAGATTAGTTATTTATACCTTAACAATCGCTTGTTGAATATTATTTATGCACTTTATCTAAATATTACATTATTTATCATTTCTATCTAGTTTATATAATGGTCTGTGCAATGTCATTTACAAGGATTCTTATCAATATATATATAATTATCAATAATTTTATTTTTAAATAACAATTGAATTATGATTAGATAAGAGTAATAATCATTCATAATCTATTTACTAGGCTCTTAGCAGTTACATAACTCAAAGGATGCATTTTTTAGACGTTGATGTCCAAGCTATCGGCAACTGCAATGTACATGTTTCTGGTATGGTTTCGGACTCAATCATAGTTCAGACTGAATGTGGTGATATAACAGGGGGAAAACTTCAAGCTGGTCAACTTATACTTTCTTCAAGTGATGGTGGCTCTGTAAAACTTTGCCATAGTCTACAAGGAAACATTGAAATAAATACAGCAAAAAATGGGGTAAGTTTGAATGCTCATAGACTATATGATATTGAATATTAATCAGGGTCAACTGGTTATATATAATTTATCGATAACAAGATTAGAAGATTTAGGCATCTAAATATGTTCATTATAGCTAAAAGTATATTTTAAAAATCTTTTATAATTTACAATTTATTCTAATATATCTTACATAACGTGAATGAAAAAAATAAAATTTATAAAAAATAAGAAATGCAAATAGTTATTTTAATTATTTAAAAATCAAACATGGCCTCTAGAAATTGCACTCTACCTTGATTACGATAACCACAATTTAAAACACACATTCTGGTTGAAGGAAAAAACCTACTTAATCCAGTCAATTATACCTTAATTAATATCGTTGATAATCATACAATTTTTTAGTGAAATTTTTGTCATATTATTTTAAAATGATAACACGTTTATAGTCATAAAAATTGATTCACTCTCAATGGATAATAGGTTAAAAACTGTTTTACTCCGCAACCGCAAGTACACATGCGCTCATTTTGTTTACATTTACCTTAATTATACAATTATAGTGTTACGTAGGCCGTAGTGGCTAGCGAGGCCTTTAAATTTGATAACAAAAATTTAGAAGTAACCAAAAAAAAAGAAACGACCGGAGGTAACGTGAATAATGTTTGAGTGGATTCCGAGCGGTAAGAATGCACTCAATGGTGGGTTCGCTGCTCGTTTAACGTGTTGAAACACGCCTTGCTATTCCAACGTGGGTAGATATTCTCTGAAATGTCGAGGATGGGTAAGAGATATTTACAAACGCGAGTAAAATGTAAGTTTACGATATATTGTTACAACCAATTTAAATGTTTTCTATTAATTGTCGTGTACAGTGTTTCTATTATGAGAAATATCGGATAACAAAACCTAACTGTGTGTGAGGTTAAGGCAAGATGAAATTTGGTGGAACAGAAATCTATCAAAACTATGCGATATTCGGAAAGAGTAGTCTATGCAGCTCTATTTTGCCCGGTAACCGATCCAGCTTGTTCCCTAGGGTATGTAATAACGAATCCGTACCTAGGCCAGATTGCGAATACTACACTGAATCTAATACTCTAACGGTTAGAGCCACGAGTGACAACGTGCAGTCCGATCTTTTACGCGTGAAATTGAATGATTTTCTGAGCGTCTGTGCCATGATTTTGGCTGCTTATATAGTCGATTTTTGCTGATGCTCTAGGTACGGTTAGGACGTTAGGAATGCACTCGGCTAACCAGCTGGGTAGGTGGCACGGGCAATGCACTGGGTAACGTGCTGAGTCTGCAATTATGATTCCTGCTGGCTACGTTATTCTTCTGTTTTGGAATGAAGGTCGATATACGTAACACCATTAAACATTTTCGACAACGCAATATATTTTTCTGATTAGCGACATCACAATGCATTTATATTTCATATCTGTAAAAATATAGATTTCAGTACTTAGAGCTTCTATACCCGTTGTGCAACAAAAACTTGTGATATCTCCCAAAAAAAAAACACTTACGTATAAAAACTACGCCAAGTACAGGAATGCTGTGAATTCCTCTTACAAAAAGTATTAAAATCATATTATTAAGGCCAAGTACGTAAATTACTACATGTTTGCCTATTATATGATGTAGCACTGGCCCATCATTTTAATTGTATTTTCAAAATTTCCTATAAC